GTCAAGCAAATGAATGTATGTCTCCGTTGTTCTGCAGTTTCTGGTGTAAGTTCATGCATTCTCTTATATTGGATTAAACTCTGTAATTCTGTGATGTCAGCACGCATTGTTGTTTTCCTTGTGGCTACACGTGGCTTGCCGAGAGGACCTGGGATCCAGAGGAAGAGAGAGAGCCAAACTTTTTTCCAAAGTTAACCTATTTTAGGATTTCTTCCTTAACAGTAGCCTGCAGGTTTTCACTTAATGTGTAGTCTAAAGTTATTTGTTTTTCTTATTAGTTATTTAGGCTTGCTCTGTTTTATCTTAGTCAGCAATAGCTGACTAAGATAAAAGATAAGGTGCCTTGTGGAAGTTCAGGCATGCATATTTGTGTGTGCTGATTGTGGCAGCAATTTAAATCAGGTGAAGATCAACTTGTGACTTAAGGTGGATCATTGCTTAAAGGGGCAGTTTTATGTGGTACATAGTGCCATTTTATTGCACAGATAATTGTTAACTTAAGTTGTTATAAACATTCTGTCCTCTGTTAACCCTTTCACAACCTTTTAACATTAACAACTAAATCACCATCACTATTTAGATCTAAATGTTCTAAATTATTAAAGTCACATAAACAAGGCATTTTAACCTAATAAAATGCCTTGTTCCCACTACATGAAGAGTAGTGGGGCGCCACTTCTCTTCATGAAATGGAGCGCCACTTCTCTTCATGAAATGGCGCCCCAAACGTGAAAATATGTTGATTTCTACCTAAACACGATGAGGAAATAGGAGAAATAATCAGGCGCCGAGTCTAATGAAGACAGAAGGACTGAGCTGTGGGAGCTGAAAGTCAAAGCTTTGCTGGTTTCACAAATAAAGCAATGGCTCCCTCTATAGGACGGAAGGTCTCATAACCAAACAATACAGCTGCATTCACTACCGTTCATCATTATTCAAGTTTCTGACCGTTTTATCAGTTTTGCACATAGGGGTAGGAACAAGGGTCCGTGTATTTTCAGCCAGTTCGTTTTTTCGTTTGAAGTGAAAAATGAGAAAACGGAAATAGACTCGTTTTTTCGTTTTACGTTTAGAAAACCAAAATCGGAAATCGGATTTGTGGCTCATTATCCGATTTCCCATTTAGTGCACAAAACAAAAAAAGGAAAAAAACGGATAACGAGCTGTCAATTTCGATTTTCTTGATTTCATTTTTGACAAGTGGTCTGACCCGGAAGTTCTCTCTGTCCCGCACAGTTTGTTTTTGTAAACTTGTCCAAATCGGCATGTAATTAATTTTATCATGACACCTTCACACAGAAAGCCTTATACGTCCAACTTTGTTTAGTATATGAAGCTAATGGCTTCTAAATGCAGCTTCCGACTCAGTAAATGGCGAAAGGGCTAGTCCGCCCAATTTTTTTTACCAACCTTCATTCTGCTGTGGTTTAAAAAGACGCTCAAACCGCGGCTAGAACATTCTGTCCAACGCTGTCATTCAAATCCTATAGCTTTTTAAGTTTTCCTTTCTGAATAGCATTAGCACACCGATTATAATCCGGTATATTATGAACAAGCATGCAGAAAAGGTTATCCAAAATATACAATAAAAGTGTATCTGCTTCTACCAGGTAGGAAAGGTTTGAAATAATGTGCCAGTTAGATTATTAAAAGCTTAACTAAATAAATGTTTGCCTACGGAAGAGGATTTGGGAAAGAAAACCGGTCATCATTCTGACTTTAATCTAAAAAAAATAATCTTGCACATCAGTTGGTGTTAGAAAAATGCTATAGGCCCATTATCCTCTTCTGTGGTTTAACACCACACAATATTTTTTTTTCACATTTTTACAAGTGAAGTATGACTGTCCAATTAGAAATGAAAACCTTTGTCCCCACATGAGACTATTTACTTATAACATATTAGACTCAACTGACTAAACATAATGAACAATTTTTGAGTTGATTCTTTCCATTATTTCTTATCTCTGGATTTATAAGCAAGAAACATTAAAAGAATTATTTCACATTTAATTTGTATCAACCTATATGTAGTCAGAGCTTTAAATTCAAATCTTACAAAATAAACAGAGACAAAATCTTTTCATAAAAATGTATTTATTACAATAACATACAAGCAGATATTCAGCCAATGTTTTTGGAAACATAACAAAATGTTCCTATAATTTATGTATATAAAAGATGAGGAGACAGTGAAGAAGACCATGTCAGGAGGAGGAAGAGGATCACTGGGAGATTCTGGGAAGCTGCATCCAAACCTAGAGCTGAGGCCTCTCCTCCTCAAGAGCCGCCTGCCTGAAACAATAAAAAAATAAATATAAAAAAAAAAGTACACACTGCACATAAGAAGCCAACCGGAGGGAAGAATATATTTTTCACACACACACACACACACACACACACACACACACACACAAACAAATAGGAATTTACAAACTACAAAAAAAAAATCAGAGGAAGGGAATATTAGTAGTATTGGAAGAGAACACTGTGTTCTTCAGAAGATATAAGTATCTTCTGAAGATAACATCTTCAAAAGTATCGAACTCTCCAGAGAGGAATATTATATTTTGACACACGTATCAAACAGTATATATGCAAACTCATTGAACTCTTCATGGCCCACTTTGAGTCGCTACAATCAGATATCAAGCAGCAGAATACGACAAGGTGACTTGCCGAGATCAGGCCGCGGTTAGCGGGGTAAACACACTCCGCCCGGCCGCTGAGCCTGGAGCCGCCTGGCCCCGTTAGCGGAGCTGCGCTGCTCCGAAAACTCCGGAGTATATTTCAAAGAAACTGCATGAACTAAGTACGTAAATGAAGCTATGAGGGCTACTTTCTTGCCTAAAAACACCTTAAAACAACTTTTTGTGACACACCTACCTCTGTATATCGCTGCTGGTGGCACAGTGCAATGGTGGCCATCTTGCCGGTCCAGAGACGGGTATGGCTGCCATAGACATAATATAAGAGTAGCAGCGGTGGAGAAAGTACTCAAAAAATTTACTTAAGTAAAAGTACAAATACACAGACAAAAATGTACTCAAGTAAAACTACCACATTAACATTTGTACTTAAGTAAAAGTAAAAAAGTACTGGCTTTTAAAAATACTTAAGTATAAAAAGTAAAAGTACTTGCTGAATGCATTACCTAATCCCTAACACAATATCATTAAGTGAACCGATCGTATTTAATTTTAATACATTAGAAATGTGCCATTTTAATGGACAATGCCACAGATGAAGCATGTTTTTATTATGTTTACTCTCTAACATAGTTTAGTCTTAGATATGTGATTCTATGCATCATATTTTCAGGGATGGAAACATCTTGTCTCCTGTCCCAACATAGCATGAACTTCACTTTTTTTTGCCACTAGTGGCATTTATTTTTAAAGAAATCCAACAGAAAGGGGATGGAAAGAAGGTGGGTGGGGGAGTACATGCAACCAAGGAGCCAGTAGCAGAGTTGTAGTCAAGACCACCTACCCAAGTCAAGACCAGCACCCCGCGCTACACGACACAAAAAAATTAAGTTTTACCTATCAAAATTGCTTCTCAAATTGANTGCTGCTCAGCATTTCGGAGCTGTCCAACAACTAAGAAGGCTGAAAATTGAATGTAGTGCTGCACATTCACAAATAGTCCATTTTTGACTTCTTTCGCTGAGATAAAGCGTTTTTGGCTTCTGGCTTGCTGATCACTTGAAACTTAAGCATTAGACCTAATTCCAGTTTAATACAGCCAGATCTAATGCTGCTCAGCATTTCGGAGCTGTCCAACTACGAAGAAGGCTGAATATTGAACGTAGTGCTGGAAATTTACAAATAGTCCCTTTTTGACTTCTTTCGCTGAGATAAAGCGTTTTTGGCTTCTGGCTTAATGATCACTTGAAACTTAAGCATTAGAACTAATTCCAGGTTAATACAGCCAAATCTAATGCTGCTCAGCATTTCGGAGCTGTCCAACTACGAAGAAGGCTGAATATTGAACGTAGTGCTGGA